GAGCGGGACTGGCCGAGTCGGGCCATGAGTCTCGAGCGGGACTGCCGAGTCAGGCCATGAGTCTCGGAGCGGGGCCCTGCCGAGTCGGGCCCATGAGTCTCGGAGCGGGGACTGACCGAAGTCGGGGCCGGGGCCGAGAGTCTCGGAATGGGAGATCGCTGCGGCGGCCCAGCGGGAACGGGAGAGCGCTGCGGCGGGCCAGCGGGAACGGGAGAGCGCTTCTTCCGCTTGCTCCTCCTTCTAGGGTTCAGGAGGTCCCGGAGCTCGAGGCAGGCGAGCTGATAGCTCCTGGGACCAAATACAAAATTCGTTTTCCGCTGCCAGAAGGGACTTCTTATGTCCAAGTAGTCCGGACCGTAGTCTGGCAGCGGGTCTGCTGAGTCCCATGGTCGCGTCATTCTGTCAGGGGTGGGGGGGGAAGGCAGGACTCAGATGCAGACTTCTCCGAAACAAAAGACTTTAATAGTCACCAGATACAAAATCCAAAAGGCCAAGGGGCAAAAACACACAGGCATGAACCTACGGAGATCCACAACAGGAGACAAGAACATGCGTGGCAAAAGACAATGACGCGACAAGTGACACAAGAGACACACGGCTTAAATACACAAGGTAGGTGCAGGTGATTGGACACAGGTGGAAACTATTAAGACGATCACAGGGGATGACGGGACAAGGCAGGAAGTGAAGTTACCCGGGGACACAAGTGGCAGAAAACTACAAAATATAACATGAAGTGAACCACACCGTGACACATATAGCATTATGTAGGAGTAATATAACAAACATGTCATCATACTTAGTATTTCAAATATTATATAACTTAATACCATATACAGTGTTTTCCCTACCATTGTATCACCCGGCGCGCCCCAACACCCACGACCCCCCTCCGGTACGTCCGCCCCCCCATAGTTGGTAACAGGGGGGAAACACTGATATGACATAATATAGTAGAACCAATATAGGAGACATGGCATTACACCTTTATTTCTAATATTATATAACTTAATATGATATACAGTGTTTTCCCTACAATTGTATCACCCGGCGCGCCCCAACACCCACGACCCCCCTCCGGTACGTCCGCCCCCCCATAGTTGGGAACGTAGGGGAAACACTGATATAACATAATATATCCATCCATCCATTGTCAAACCGCTTATCCTGCACACACAGTCGCAGGGGGGCCGGAGTCCATCCCAGCCAACTTTGGGCGATAGACCGGATACATCCTGGATTGGTCGCCAGCCAATCGCAGGGCTACAAAGAGACACACAAGACACACAACCATTCACACTCACATCCACACATCTACGGGCAATTTAAAGTCCCCAATTAACCTGATCCCCAGAGCATGTCTTTGGACTGTAAAAAAAAACATGAATTATACATGGCAGGTTTACTTGAGAATAAACACAATTATATTCAACTTTGACTTGTTATAACCCCAACAAATAAATAAAAAAGGAATTCACAGTTATTATCAGAATTGTGCTCTGACCTCTGAAACATAATTGTTGTCTGTTGGGATATATCACATTATAAAGGGACAATTGATTAGATAAAGCTAATTTATAAACAGAAAAACTCCCAAATTAACGCCCAATTCGATTTTACAACTGGGGAAGTTACTTTCCGGACCTATTGAATGATTATCTTGATGCTCATATGAGTCGAATGTGGCTGATTCAATTTGATTCTTTATCTTAATACACAATTGGTCTCAGGCATACTAAATGTTTCCACATTACCGTGCATGCAACAATCTTTTAAAGCTCTTTTGTATTGTCGCTGTGTTGTATTATCGTCCATTCATTCAAGTAGTATTTAGTAATAACATTGGTTCACAGTGCTAAGGTCAGGGTGTCCTGTTAGGTGCTGTTTATGTAGCGGTTGTACTCTTTCTTGCGTTGTGTTGTTAAAATCACCACCAGGGCACGGACCACATTCGGCTCGGATCGGCCGTTTATTGTGTGACGTTAAGACACCTGGCGAACACACATAAGTTAACGTCCTCAGAAGGAACCTCGTGGCATCATAACTGCCAAACAGAATGAAACACATGAGCTAGTTGAATTTAGCATTAGGGGACTTTCTACAGCCAACTTACCGGTTACACACCCTGCAGCAGACTAACTTCTTAGCTACAGGGTGTCGCACCCACGTCCGCAGGGACCCAATAGAGGGCACCCACGTGACACCCTGTCACGACTCTCCCCAGACAGCATCAGCGTTGCCCCGGTGGAGCGAACGCAGTCAAGAAGCCTGCGGACCCCGGGCGGACATCGACATGGAGCTGGAGAATATCTTGGCCAACACGGTGCTGCTGAAAGCACGGGACAGTACGGATGCAGGGCCGAGTTTAAAAAATAATAAATGTGTTTTAATAGACTGTTGCTGCACTTCCTCGAAGCCGGTGATCCTAAGTTTTGATGATGCGGCTCAACGCGAACAGGATGTCGCCCCCCCTAATACGCGCCGCGCAGCGACACGCCGAACTCCATGTTCCGTTTAGCGATTTAAAGTTCTCCGGCGTTTCCGCGCGCGCGGAGTGTTTGACCTCCTGCCTATGCAATAGTTAGAGCCAGATATCTGCGAAGAATTGCTCATGTAATCTTTTTCTCTTCTAAATAAATGTTAACTTTTTGACTTTAATTGATCAACGGGCTGCGATTCTTGTCATCAACCAACTCGGGGGGATCGGTGATCCTGACAATTGAAACTTTATTGATCCCTCAAGAGGAACATTTTGGTATCACAGCAGCATGTACAGGGAAGAAAATAGAATAAAAAGATACACACTATAGACAATATAATAAGATAGAAATATTAAATTCTTAAATTAAATTAAGTTAAATAAACTACAACTGAAACAAAAGAATAACCTTCCAAAAGAGACAATAATAATAATTTGTAAAAGGAGAAGAGGAAGAGGACGAGCACAGGGTTGTTATTGTCATTATTTGGCCAGAGATGATTTATTGTAAAGTGTTATTGCACTGGGCAGGAATGATCTCCTGTATCGGTCCTTGTGACAGCGGAGCTGAAGGAGTCTGTTGGAGAACGTGCTCCGCTGTCCCTGTAGCAGGTGGTGGAGGGGGTGGTCAGGATTATCCAATATATTTAGCATTGTATATTTGCAAGAGAGGTCTATTGTGATCTTATGTTTTCTACATTTTTACTTAGCCTTCATATAAGAAGAAAATTATAAGACTAGATTAGCACTGACTGGCTATGATTAGTTTCAATTTAATATACTGGTAGCGTAATCTAAAAAAAATATTTTTAAGGAAGAAATAGTTTGTTTTTTGTTTGGGGTTGGCAGGGGGTTCGTGGCTTCATAACCAGCCTTAAAAAAAGTTTTGTCTTTGAATCAACTTTTATCAACAAGTAAATTTACTTTTTTAGGATTACAAAATGTAATAAAACTGTAGTAATGTAAGTATTATATATATAAAAAAATAATATATATATCTATATAGATATATGTATATCTATACATATCAATCAAAATACAAAGCGGCATAATATGGAAATACTAGAGAATTGTAAATTGCAGTACTGGAATTAACTTTCAAATCAAACTCAACTTTACATCATTTTAGCTTTGGTGCTGTTTGCAGACTTAGGAATTTACCTTAAACATAAAACCGATAAATATTTAAGTTGAACGAAGTATTCACGACTCGCTGAAGACTTTAATGGTTTTAGTTGCCGTGTGCAGTCCTGTGCAGACCATAGATATACATCAAGACTAGATGTCTCCTCCGCGTTGCCCGCCCAACGGAGCCGAACGTCCGCACATGGCGGCCATCTTGGTACGGTGCGCTCGCTCACCCATCATTTTGTGTCGATAGTGGTACATGTACTGTTAATAATAATAACATAGCTCAATGTTTTCTGATTTTTAAACGGTTTGGTTTGTTATAAACGTCAGAGATGTAGTTATGAGAATGCATACATACTATGATTAATTATGTTATATTTAAAAAAATAGAATAATGTTCTAAAATAGGTACGGTTTGTCCCTTTACAAATATACATCAAGAAATGCTGCATGTTGAAATCCCCACCCTATACAGAGATGTATTTATGACACTGCATAATTGTATTATTATAACCATGGGTTTTCGTACGAGCCCTGCGATTGGCTGGTGACCAGTCCAGGGTGTACCCCGTCTATCGGCCGAAGTTGGCTGGGATAGATTCCAGCCCCCCCCCCCCCCCCGACCCTGGGGGGAGGAAAAACGGGTTTACCATGGGTGGGTGGGAGGGTTTTCTACCAAATACCCTTTAACAAAACATTATTTCTAAATTTGGAGTGGCCTAACTTACTCTCGGGAGTTTATTACAAACCCAAACGTTTAAAAATCCGGTGAACATTGAGCTAAGGTTATTATTATTTAAAGTACATGTACCACCATCGACACAATATTATGGGTGAGCGAGCGCACCGTACCAACATGGCCGCCATGTGCGGACGTTCTATACTCCGACGTAAGACATCTAGTCTTTATATATCTATGGTGCAGACAGCTGTTTGTAAATTGCTCGCGCAGCCGCTGAACAAGTGGGACGTTCCCGGAACAATCGCTAACCGGAAGGGAAGGCCAGAGCCTCAGAAGAAGAAGCAGAAGAAGAAGACAGCCGCCGCCGCGAGAGAGAAGGAAAAAGTATCGTAAGTCAAACAACTTGAAATTATTGGAGATGGTCGTTGAGAGGCGCACTTTGGTTTTGTTTTGCTCTACGAACTATTAAACGCGTTTGGACTCGCCGTGTCACATGTCGTTGCACCTATTAGCCGAGTCCGGGTTCACTCGCAATGTCCATCGGGCTGGCAGGAGACAGGCTAGGAGTTTCTAGCCCCGTGAGACCACACGGCGTTCAAACAGTCTTGACAACAAAACATCGCTGAGCAGAACATGACATGTTTCGACCAGCAGCCGACACGATACCAACTATGACTCGACCGGGTTTTTCTCTTTTCTTTTTTTTTTTCAAACGTCAAAACAGCTGACGATATGTGGCTGCAAAATGGAAAGTTGAATAAAGACGCGCGCGCTGCTAACCTGACGTTAGCTAAGGCCATCGGCATTCCAGTTGTCTCCAAAGTTGAGCATAAACGCTTGTTTTTTATTTCTTTATTATTATTTTTTTTCGACAACATACTTAGCAAACTAATGCTACGTCAAATGAACGCACTGTGGTCAAATATCCGTCTTTCGCCATTCGACGGTAGGTTCACTAACGTTAAGTCAGTCACTTGTGCTCCCGATGACAGTTCGCTGACGTCCACTGACGTCATAGGTAACCACTCGCCACAGCTAACGTTACGTCACGCATTTAGTCTTTCGTTCGCTGCGTTGCGGCAGGTGATTGGGATAATAACGCTACATGTCCATCCGCTGCAGCTGCCTCCAGTACTTGTTTATCTTGGTCGCTGTCGAGCACCTGTCTTACCTGTGGGGTTTTTCTTTCTTTAAAAAAAAAAATGTCGTTCAAAACTACCTTTTTTTTTTTTTTTTTTAATCGCTCAGTTGATGAGTTTTTATCTGCTGGCTGGCGTGACCTTCGTCAGGGCCGCTGAAGGCCAGCGAGCTTCACACATTAAGTAAATGTGTCATTACTGCATTTGTTTTTCCTATTGAGCCATTTGTCGAGGTTGTGTGTTTTTCACATGGAGATTCTTTTCACCGTCTTCTCGTTCTGGCTGAGTAAGGGAAACCGAGCGCAGACCTTTGAGACGGGAAAAGAGAAATAATCTCACCCGCTCTTGTAGGTTTTTACGATGTGTGGACCTTGTCCTTCTAAAGTGGTGACACGTTTTCTCACACTGTAGCCCTGCAACCAGCACCGCAGCTGATATAAATAACATTTGAGTTTAATTTGTGGAAATCCCCTCGTCTCAGACTATTTAACCTCAATGTCTGAAGTTGTAGAGATGCTTTTCTAAATTACAGCTGGTAGTTCTGTGCTGCCATCAAGTCCCAAACTACATCTTTTAATATCTGCCGAAGGAGCACATTGTGAAGGGTGTGTCTTTCACACACATGCACTGTCATCACTTGCAATGCATTCACAGGTGGAGAGTTTTTTTTTTGTTTTTTTGAATTTCAAATTTACAATGCATTTTGATTTTACTGCACGAAAGAAATCTTTTTGTAATGGGTCTATTCTTGTCTTCTCCCCCTCAGAAGAACTGCAACTGACTCCGCAAATATTTTTAGGATTCCTCTCGTACACAGTAATTATCACCTGGTTACGTGCATGCTTCTTCAGTTCCACTATTTTTGATTTCACAGAAACGTGCAGGTTTTTGCATGGGTTTTTTATTTTAGTGATTTGTCTTTGGATAGGCAGCGTTTTTAAACGTGACTCACAAGAAAAGGAAGTGCCCTGTGATTTCCTTGGGGCCTTGCAAACCGCCAGTGATGAGTATCATGTTCGCCTTTCCTGTGTTATGTCCCCAGTTTCCTTGTCGCTGTCTCCAAAGCCATCCTTTACCAGAGACCCGATCAGTTGAACGACCTGCCTTGGATCAAGACCTTTTCCTGCTTCATTGGACGGGATTGTTCTGCACGCGTTGATCTTTCCGCGTGTGTTACAGCTGAAGGCTTATTGTCGATAGTGCGCACAGCTTTTGACCAAACGACAAAAGGAGCTCGTATCAGACACCACCAGTTCCTCTAGGACCCCACCCTTCGATCCAAGTGAGCAACACAAGCCCCTGCTTGTGTTCTTGAAACTGATCTAGCGATGCCAGCTGCGAACGTTGTTTGACTAATAAGTCAATGGAATGTGGGACTGAGTTCAGCTTTCCTCGTTGCACTAAAATAACTGCCAAATTTAATATGCGGCAGCGCAGGATTTCCTAGCAAGAGTGCGTGCGTGTTTGCTACTTGGCTGTAATGCTCGCAGCAGAATATACAGGCGGCCACAATGACTTTACCACAGACTTTCCCCATGTGTATTTTTTTATTCTCGGTCAGCCTTGTGCCACCGTCTCACTTGCCTGCTTCTGTCTCGGCGCCCTCTAAGGATGTCGTCAAAGAGTCGGTCACACGCTGCTGACGATGTGTGCAGGTCTGTCTCCGCATCAGCGCAGCCGACTACTGCACAGACACCTTTTTTTTACCGTTACTGTTTGGCAGTCAACCGCAATTTTGCGCGTTTAATAGTTTTATTCTACAGTGTATGTCGGACACGAACAACTCTTCGGGCCAGGACACACTTACACACACGTTTTGCTTCCTAGAGGATGTGCTTTGTCTTTTTTGAATCCTTTTTCTCTACTCTATTCCTCCTGCGAATGGCTGCAGCTCACTGTTCACGCCCGCACATCTTCAGTTCACGAAAAGCAATAGATGTCTGCCACAAAATCCCTCGCTCCATCCTTCCGCTCGTCTTTGCTTCCTCTAGTGAGGAATGTGAACAGGGGGAAGCTCTTCTCTGCTGAGTGCAGCCCTCATGTCTGTGTGACCCAGGGAACAGAGGGCCTTTATCTCCCCTCTGCTGCCCCCTTGAAGCCCCCCCTCCCCTCCAGCCCTGCGTGTGCGCCAGTTGAGAGTCCAGCGAGACTTTAAAGGCGCTGCCTCGGATGTCTGCAACAGTGGGTTTGCATTTAATTCTCTGTAGCAAAAGTCACTTTGGAAACCGTGCTGAAGTTGGGGGAAACTCTCTTTAACCACAGGAACCCTGCACGTAATGAACGTATGCAGCGCGTTGGGTGAGCGAGCAGAGGTTATCCCGAGTGTGTGCTCAGCAGTAAAATGTCTCCTGCGAGCTTCACTTCCTGCTTTCAGTGGACTTGTGCTTCCTGTACTTTGACCAAGCAGAAGCTGTCTGACCTCAAGTGAATCACCCAACCGAAAAAAAGATTAGGCAAGGTTTCATATATGCAAAGCAGGCGGAAGGCGAGGGAATAATCGTTTGCTCATTTGTGCTGCCTCGGTCGGCTATTGTCCCCTGTTGTGGATAATTCGGGGTACATTCATGCTGGATGAAATGCTTTTAAACTTAAAAAACAAAAACATGGCCACTGGAAGTTTTACTGTTGAAACATGGTTTAGACTTTATGTTATTATTAGACCATCTAATTGTGGCACTGCTACATGGAAGCAGCCACAAAGATCTTACCACTATAGGAGCTAAAAAAACCAAAAACCTTGTGGCCAGATATCTGTGGCGAGATGACTCACTGGAACAGATGCGGTGAGCTCATGTTTGGGCGAGCCTTAATGCTCGCTCCTATGGTTTACACACGATTATTTTATTTGTATATCATAATTGTTTTATGATATGCTGAAGCAACCGTAGCCTCTTCCAGCGCTTGTTTTCACTAAACACGGTTGCATGAACGGTTTATCTTCAGGCTCCGCCCACTGGGAGGCGTGTTTCCATATCAACAACGTGGGCTCTCCGTTGTCTAAAACAACAGTTTAAGTTGAGCTGTATTTTGCCGATGCGCTCTGGTTAACGTTTACAGGTGGAGTCGAGGAATTCATCTTGGGTTGGTTTCTTTTATTCAAACAGCTACACTAATGCTGAGCCCCCATAATATTGTTCCATGATAGCTGTTTTAATGGAAAGCTCAAGCTTAACATACTAAACAATATGTTGTGTTTTCCAGGTGTGGTCTCCTCCTCCTCCTCCCACGGCTCTTCCATCTGCCTGATCTCCACCCGCCCCCCCCACCAGCCTTCCTCCCTCTTCTCCCGGCTTCTTCTCTCCTCCCCCCACTCTCTCCCCCCGGCCCCCGTTTTCCCCACCATGGCGGGGCGAGGCGGACCGGCGCGGACCAACGCCACAGCGGCGAGCAACAAAATCTGCCAGTTTAAGCTGGTGCTGTTGGGGGAGTCGGCGGTGGGAAAGTCCAGCTTGGTGCTGCGCTTCGTCAAAGGACAGTTCCACGAGTACCAGGAGAGCACCATCGGCGGTGAGGGTCCGCTAGCTGTCTCTGCTCAATAAACGGCGAGGTTGTATTTAGGAATTTGTGGGGCTCATTGTCCTAAACGGACGGCGTGGTTGTTGCAGCCTGTGAAGGAGGAGCAATGGCACCGCCTTTTCTTTTGAACGTGACTAGTTTGTCCTCTGCTAGGTGTGTGCAGCTCGTAGGCTGCACAGGAGTGTCGTTCCTCTGAAACAGGAAGGAATTGAGCCAACAATGGGGATTTCCTGGACCTCCTTCTGATCAGTGAAGCTCTTCAAAAGAGTATCGTTGCTTGTTCAAACAGGAATATTCTCTGTGCCTTTTGAGATTTTGCAGTATGGTCGTATTCCTTCACTTGAGCTGGCGGGCTGCGGAGGTTTTTCTCGTAACTCGCACGTGACGTGTTTCCTCTGGAGCCTTCCGAGCATTATTCTGTTCAGACGTGCACTATTGATCTCTTCAAGCAATTTATCTTGAACTAATATAAATGAACACAAACATTTTTGAAACGTTCTTCACATCAGTACCTCCGGCCTGCTGCAGACGCAGAGTCCTCCAGCGTGTTGCCGCCATGCCAACAGGCAACAGAGTTCAACATGTTGACTCATATTCTCTCGTAAAGACGACCCTGACAAACATTTAAAGTATATTTATCGATATCTAACTTGAAGTTGCTTATGATCTGCCCCTCTAATGGATTGGGCTGCAACTAACACAGTATTATTGTATTTACTAACATGTCCACTAGCAACAGAGTTTTTTTTTCTTTTTCTCACGTTTCCTGCATCTGCGTAATGTGGCTGCAGGATGTTGGGACAGGATGCTCACGCCGAGTCAGCATGTTTTCTGTTCTGCTGAACCTCGTGGTCAGCTGAATGCCCGGTCAAAGATTACAAAGCTTTAAGCTATGTGCAAGTGGGCGCTCTGTTTTCTTCCGCCATGTGACGTTCGCCTAAGTAAGCGAGTTGTATACTGTTGTGCCTCCTAGTAAAGTACCACAGTACTTTTGCATTTGCAAAAAAAAAAAAAAAAAAGTATAGTGTATTTCACTGTCTCCCCTTCATCACGTTTTCTTAGCTTAGCTTTTTTCGCAATTGAGATCTGGTCAAGTGTTTCCTCTCTGTTCTCTCTTCTAAACATTTTGATTATTGTATTTCGTACTACAGCAAATTATGCATTGTGTCATGTCATTAAAAAGATTATTTCTGTCCATATTAAGTCTTTTTCTTTAAACATTCTTGAATTGGTCTTGACATTTTAAAATGTTCCTACAGTGTAGTTTTTAATGCTCTGATCTTATTTCTTTTCTTTCCAGCGGCCTTCCTCACCCAGACGGTATGTTTGGATGACACGACGGTGAAGTTTGAGATCTGGGACACCGCAGGACAGGAGCGGTATCACAGCTTGGCCCCCATGTACTACAGGGGGGCCCAGGCCGCCATCGTTGTCTACGATATCACCAACACAGTGAGTCCCGCGGACGAAATTGCTTAGTTTGCAGAGTGTCTTTGTTTTTTCAACTCGCACGTAAAACTTGCAGCGGGGAATTAAAGTTTAACAACACTGTCTCGTGTTCTTTTCTCTGCTCCAAGGACACATTCACACGTGCAAAGAACTGGGTGAAGGAGCTGCAGAGACAAGCCAGCCCGAATATTGTCATCGCGCTGGCAGGAAACAAAGCCGACCTGGCCAACAAGAGAGCCATCGACTTCCAGGTAACCAGGTCACATGTTGGAGTCTGCATTTCTTTTGAAGATGCTTTGATGCCAAGCGGTCTGTTTGTGTGTCTTCAGGAAGCTCAGGGATATGCGGATGACAACAGTTTGCTCTTCATGGAGACCTCAGCCAAGACGGCGATGAATGTCAATGAGATTTTTATGGCTATTGGTACGTGCTCCACGCATTTCTTACTGCTCCAACAGGAAATGGGTCTGCAGCTATCTTGATGGAGTTCAATCAATTCACCTGCTGATTATTATTATTATTCTAGTCATCAATTTATATATTTGGGAATATAATTTCCTAGAGACAGAATGTTGAAATTCCTTATTTTATTCGACCACCACTCCAAATGCCCCCATTTGTAGTGGCAGCGTAATGCAATACAATGGGGAAAAAAACCCGGAGACTGTTTACTTACCTTTTTAAGATCAGACGTTTTCTAAAAGGACCGGTGCTCTTAAAAGCTTCCTCTTTGGTCTACTGGGATCACAAATATCAATACAAAGTCTCTTGTAGTGCATTGAAATTATTACTTAAATGTTCAAATAATTTTGGCTGTTAAAGTAGAATTTTCATTTTTAAAAGGAATAAATTGTGTTTTGGACTGTTAATCAAAATAAGACATTTTATGACGTCACCTCAGACTTTAATTGTTTTCCTATGTCCTGATGACTTACTGGAGAAAAAAACATTGAGGAAAAGTGTCTGAATAATGAAAAATAGTGCAGTAATTAATTAATATATCATACTCCAACCCCAAAACAGCCAAGAAACTTCCCAAGAACGAGCCTCAGGGAGGAGCGGGCGGCGGTGGGCGAGCCGGAGGCGGCGTGGTGCTGACGGACGGAGCAGCACAGGACCGAGGCGGCAACTGCTGTGGTCGCGGCAACTAGCCAACACAAGTCAGCTGATCCGACCAATCCTCGATCAACAAGACCAGATGTCAGCCAGCTCAATGCCCAACGTCCCATTGGTCAAACCACACCACCCGATCAGCACCAATTAACTGTCCGGCAAATAAGTCCAGTGGCCAGTAAAGTGCCCGGCGCCTCTTGACGGTTGAACCAACCAGCAGGCTTATTTACGCAGTCCTATTTGAACCCCAGGACTTCCTGTCCATGAGCTCTCTATTGATGGTGGACACTTGACGTTGCCTGGGGAGGTGGAGAGGGGGTGGTGAGCGATTATGTCAGCAATGGATGAAGAAAGAAAAAAAAAAAAAATCAGTCATTACCAATGGCACTTACTATGGCCATCTTGCCTATCGTTTTTTTCGTATTTGTGTGGGGGGGGGGGGGGGGGATTACAGGAATTTCTATAAGCAGGCTCATCGGCCCGGTCCTTTCCCGCCTGTCCCCGGGTTTCTCCAGCACCGTATGTCTAGTGAGAATTTCCAACATGGTTGTGTGACACCGTCGAAGCAGCGCAACAGGCCTCCGCTTTTCTGGCTTGTTCCTGGAAGAGATGGAAAGAAAAGCTTCGTAACAGGAGAATGGCAATGGATGGATATTTCCTTCTTGATGGAAATGTAATAATTCACACTATACATTTCTATCACTATTATTACTTCAACTTCTTTTGACGCAGGCTGTTCAACGTGATTTTGAAACCTTTAAGGTTTTTCAATCGCCTATCTGTTATCAAAGCACATACAGTAAATAGTCACCATAAGTAATTTTAGCATTTATGTAATGTTTTTGAATTGTGTAATTACAAATGCATTAAACAAGACCAAAATCACAACTGTGTTGACAATGTTGCTGTATTTGTACCAGACTCTTCAAGTGTATCAGTAGTCCACTTTCGAACAACGTCTTTCTAATGTCTGCATTATGTTTTGTCCACCTTAATTATATTGTCGTTTTCTGAAGACCTATGGTATCAAATGCACTGGTTCTGTCTCATCTTTGTGAATCGGGATGTTATTGTCTGCTTTCTTTCCTTTTTTCTTTTCTGTTTTGCTTTCAACTGTAATGTCCTCATGTTATGGCATCAACAACTAGCACAACAGTACCTGCGCAGCACCACCTGCTGTGAGGAGGGGGGCATCGTGGGTAGATAAAGAATCAAAAAATGTAATTCACCAATAAACAGATCTTTTCTGTATGACTGCAATATTTGGTAAAGTACAAGGTATGATTGTTGAAGTCTTGATTTAATATCATAATTGGCATTTTATTTTTTGTAAATATCTGTGTATCCGATAAATTATCCACAGGCGTATTGCTTTCACGTGCCACAACGTTTTATAAACCAAATCCAATCAAAATGTGGCAACAATTTTAATTAGGCTTCCACTACTAGTAGAAAGTATTAGTACTGTTTATTGCACTAAATTACTTAATGTAGAACTTCTTTTTGGTTAACTAATTCGGATATGCTGTACTTAATACATTTAAAGGAGACTGTAACTACTAAGTTGATGAATATGCCTTTAAAAATATTGTGTTATCTTATAAAAGGATGACACCAAAAGTGATGGTATGGTACATTCACCCCAACTGCACTGATTTGTAGTTTATAAGGTTGACCACTGGGGGGCAGTAAACGCTCATGATTTTAATGAGCTTAATTTTAAATTAGACTTTTACCATTTTACTAGTAAACACATTTCGAAACATAGATCTATGTTTCGAGATGTACTGTAGCATTTTTAACACGAGAGGGCGCTGAAGACAACTACACAACTGTAAAGTCAGACGTAAAATATTGTCTTCATCTTCCGGTTCATTCGATATCATACATTCTAATTAGGGGGTTGAATATTTTTTCAGTGATTACGGTAATATCGTGACATGTGGTTGTTTATTCGCGATGTAACGTTATTTGGAAAAATATCTCTTTCGGTTTGGTCAATGCTGGAACGGTTCATACGTGAAAAGTCCTGCTTCCAGTGTAAAATAAATTGTTTGCATGCAAATGTAATGCAATCTAAATTCTTAACGCCTCTGTTACAACGAGACGGGAACTTCAGTTTCTGAACAGTGCTGCGGTTCTCTTAAATCTCATTTCGACGACCGCCCCTGAACGCAGCACGCGAGGTAAACGGGAGCCGAGGACGAGTCTAGCAGCGCGTGGACATGTCGGACCCGGCGGCGCAGGCCTCCCAACCCCGGCTCGTCCAAGCCCAGACCGCGGGGTCAGCTGGGTCCAGTACCGCCGCGACGGGCTCCGGGTCGGGAAACAGCGACCCAGCCAGACCGGGACTTAGCCAGCAACAACGTGCGAGCCAGAAGAAAGCCCAAGTCCGGGCTTTCCCACGGGCGAAAAAGCTCGAGAAACTTGGCGTATTCTCCGCATGCAAGGTAGCTAGCCCGGCTAGCCAAAGTTCAGCCCAACAAAGCACCCCTCGGGCGGCGTTAGCATGCACGTATGAGGCGCAGAACCGTCAAACAAAAACGTTATCGGTAGCGCAATGACTTGGTGTTATTTTTAACTTTTGTAGCTACCTAGCTAGCTAGCTAGCTAGCTAGCAAGTAGACCGTATGCAGTCCACTTTATGCCGTTCTTATAAACGTTTGGTATATCTGAAGCTGCGTGAATTGTCAGTTAGCTCAAACGTAACGTCCGGTCACCCACCGACGCACAGGAACAGCAGCAAGTCACTGTAAGCCATTTGTGTGTGTGTTCATCACATTTTGCATATTTCCCAGGCCATTGACACATGCAAGTGCAACGGATGGAAAAACCCAAATCCCCCCTCGGCCACACGTATGGACCTGCAGCAGCAAGCCGCCAGCCTCGGCGAGCTGTGCCGTAGCTGTGGACATGCTCTGGGTACAAACTCCTCCGCCTCCACCCGGACACCTGCCTTGCCGCTGCGTCCTCCATCTCTGCAGACTTCTTATGGATTCCATGTTTCCCTTTGCAGCTGACCACGTGTCCCACTTGGAGAACGTGTCTGAGGATGAGATGAACAGGCTGCTGGGGATGGTGGTGGACGTGGAGAACCTTTTCATGTCTGTGCACAAAGAGGAGGACACGGACACCAAACAGGTCTACTTCTACCTGTTCAAGGTAGAAACCCCAGTAACTGTGTGTGTGTGTTTGCGCACACATCACTGTCTTACTGTCCTGTTGTGCACCAACCAGCCTAACAATGTTCCTGATTCGCGCTGTTCTCCTCAGCTGCTGAGGAAATGCATCCTGCAGATGAGCCAGCCGGTGGTAGAAGGATCCCTGGGAAGTCCACCCTTTGAGAAGCCCAACATTGAGCAGGTAGTCCAGTGATTCCAACAGATCCAACGTCAGTGTGTGTGTGTGTGTGTGTGTGTGTGTGTGTGTGTGTGTGTGTGTGTGTGTGTGTGTGTGTGTGTGTGTGTGTGTGTGTGTGTGTGTGTGTGTGTGTGAGAGAGAGACGCGTGACTGACAGAGACTGAGGGAGAGAAGGGAAAGGAAATGCAGCTGAACGAATTCGCTGCGTGATTTAAATAGCGTTTAAAAAAAGTAGAAGTCTTCTACTACAGTAGAAGAACATCCGCGTTGTTGTCAATACGCTGCTGATGCTCTTCAGACATTTCTCTTTGCTCCAATCACACACTGCCTCTTTGTCTTTTTCTCTTTTGGTTTCCTTTTCCTCCGTAGGGGGTTTTGAATTTTGTTCAGTACAAGTTCAGCCACCTGGCACCAAAGGAAAGGCAGACCATGTTTGAGCTGTCAAAGATGTTCCTCTTGTGCCTAAATTACTGGAAGCTGGAGACACCGACGCAGTATCGCCAGCGCACCCAGAAAGACGACGGGACGGCGTACAAAGTGGACTACACAAGGTGTGTGTGTCATGGTTTAAGGAGGCAGGTGCACTCTTCCGATATCCGCACGGAGCATAACCGTGGTTTTCCCCAACGTCTCCCAGGTGGCTCTGCTACTGCCACGTCCCCCAGAGCAACGACAGCCTGCCGCGCTATGAAACCACTCACGTGTTCGGGCGCAGCCTGCTCAAGTCCATCTTCACGGTGACCCGCCGCCAGCTCCTGGAGAAGTTCCGAGTGGAGAAGGACAAGCTGCTACCGGAGAAACGCACACTCATCCTCACACACTTTCCCAAGTAGGCTGACTCTCTTGAAGTGCTGTGCGAGTGCTTTGTAATGATTAGATTCAACAGTGCATCCTTTTTTGTTCACCATTAAAAAAACAACATTCAGTCATTCATTTAGTCTCTATATATATATATATATATATATATATATATATATTATATAAACAAACAAACCTTGGGATAACATTTGACTCTGAATGTCATCAGGTTCTTGTCCATGCTGGAGGAGGAAATCTATGGGGATAATTCACCAATTTGGGAGGCTGACTTCACCATGCCTGCCTCTGACGGCACACAGCTGGGGCATCAGTCAGGTGAGGCAGATGTACAATACTGTTGTTTTTTTGTTTGTTCAAATAAAATCGTCTGGTCACGAAAAAACAAAGTTCTCTGCCCAAATCCTCCATCAGGTCACTTGATCACGCACTGCTACTTTCAGGCAGGAATTAACTGACTGAAAAACGCAGATGTTTAATCTATTACATACTACAGAATGTGAAACGATGACTTAACTGGTTCCCATAGGAAGAATTCATACGTTAAAACATGCAAAAAGAACTCTGGTCAATGATGAGATTAAGAACTAAAAAAGAGAAATTCCATTTTAAAAGCGTTGTGTTACAATACCATCGTTCATGTAATTTGAGGATTTACGTGGAACGATGCGCCTTCCGATCCATTTTTACTTAAATACGTACTACGTTATAAAAATATTCCAATCATCTACGAGAACGCCCGAGCTGCCTTTGCTGTCGTCACCGTTCCTGTTGTGTTGTGTTGACCCGTGCGTGTGCGTCCCTCCACTGCAGGGATCAGTCCCGCCGCAGGGTCCGGCTCCCCCGCGCTGCCCAAAGGTCTGAGCAGCATGTCCTCTGTGGGCAGCTTGGACGCCGGCGCCGCAGAGCCCCACACAGGTACCTCCCTGCACGCCACGTGCATGTTGTGTAATATGGAAAGCGCGCACGCACACGCCAGTTATTACCAACTGTCTCCTTGCGTTGTTTTGATCCGTGCAATGTGCAACCCGATGTTCAGGGGAGAAACGCAAACTGGAGGTGTTGACGCTGGAGGACGCCAAGCGGATCCGCGTGATGGGAGACATTCCGATGGAGCTGGTCAATGAGGTCATGATGACGATCACTGACCCTGCCGCCATGCTCGGACCGGAGGTGGGGGGGGGGCGTTCGATCACGGGTGATTCGTTGAAGGTCGTGTTAAATACAAATACGGAATCTAGTGCTCACTTTGTTGTTGTTGTATTTTTCTCGCCAGACCAACCTTCTGACTCCAAACGCTGCCCGCGACGAGACCGCCAGGCTGGAGGAGAGGCGGGGGATCATCGAGTTCCACGTCATCGGAAACTCGCTGTCCCAGAAGTCCAACAAGAAGATTTTGATGTGGCTGGTCGGCCTGCAGAACGTCTTCTCTCACCAGTTACCTCGCATGCCCAAAGAGTACATCACGCGGCTGGTGTTCGACCCGTAGGTACATGTTCTCTGACCACGTGTCGCCATCCCATATCGCCACGCTCACCCGGTGTGTCCCAACCTCCGCAGGAAGCACAAGACCCTCGCCCTCATCAAAGACGGCCGCGTCATCGGAGGCATCTGTTTTAGGATGTTTCCCACTCAGGGCTTCACGGAGATCGTCTTCTGTGCCGTCACGTCCAATGAGCAAGTTAAGGTACCTGGCGGCCATTTCTTTTATGGAGCGTCTTTGGTGGTCAGACACACACGGTGCTCGTCCACATTTTGTGTCGTAGCTTCAGAACCGAGCGGCTTTTAAGTACGAAATGAATTGTTACTGTGAGTTGGGAACAGTGAGCAGGACTGCTAGTGTTAAGATGACATCATTCGTGAATATGGCAACAAATAGTCTTCCAAGATGCCGCAAAACGTATTCACAAGTAGCCGCGTTGCACCACAGTGACTATTTCTGAAAGTAACCACCCACCTTTAAAAAAAATAAATATTTTAGTCCTTTTGTTAATTATTTCTCATAACTTGCATACTCTTGTTTTTCAATTTCCTCTCATATAAATGCTGATATGACGTTAAGCTTTTCTTTTAGAATTGATTGAGTAGCCGTTTCTTTCTTTAGAGAAGATCCATGGTTTTTTATTCTGCCTTTTTTAATTATTGAAAAATCTTTTTGACGACTTTTCTTGACTCTAACTTAGGGCTACGGTACACACCTGATGAATCACCTAAAGGAGTACCACATCAAACACAACATCCTCTATTTCCTCACTTACGCCGACGAGTACGCCATTGGCTACTTCAAGAAGCAGGTACTGCTGGCGTGACATTAGCATTAGCTCGGCTCCCGTCCTCTCCCCCAAACCCCGTCCTTTTCAGTGATTTGTTGTGTCCTCGCAGGGCTTCTCCAAAGACATCAAAGTCCCGAAAGGACGGTACCTGGGCTACATCAAAGACTACGAGGGAGCCACCCTCATGGAGTGTGAGCTCAACCCAAGGATCCCGTACACGGAGCTCTCTCACATCATTAAAAGACAGAAGGAGGTACGCGAGGCCGCCACATCTTCTCGTCAAAGTGTGTTTTCCTGCTGCGCGTGGTTTGGATCTTAAATATCTCATCGTTCTTAATTGTTCCAACAGATTATCAAGAAGCTGATCGAGAGAAAACAGAGCCAGATCAGGAAGGTTTACCCGGGTCTGACCTGCTTCAAAGAGGGCGTACGACAGATCCCGGTGGAGAGCATTCCAGGGATAAGTGAGTGTTTGGTTGGCGTGAAATTAAACCACAAAATGATCCGTTTTATTAATTCTAATATATATTTTTTTCTCTCTTTCAGGAGAGACGGGATGGAAACCCAGTAACAAGGATAAAGGGTAAGGATTAATAAATATAAATGCAAGCAGCGTGTGGTCCCAGGCGTCAGATACACCTGCCAAAGTGTCTGTCTATAAACCAAAAAAAATTACGAGACACAATGAGATAATTCAAAACATGGTCAATGCCATTATAACCAAACAAATGTTATTTACTAACTATGAGTCAATTTGATTCTTAGACTTTGAATCCAGAAAGTCTTCCCAGGCTAGACAAGACGTTCATCCAATATTTGACACAGCCTCCTTCCCATATATTTTGCAGGAAAGAGGTGAAGGACCCCGACATGTTATACAACATGTTAAAGAACCTCCTGGCCCAGATAAAGGTAAGACTCCACTGTTCACACCAGACCAGAGCAACGAGAACCGACACTAACCAAGCCCCCCCCCAGACTCACCCCGATGCCTGGCCCTTCATGGAGCCCGTCAAGAAATCCGAGGCTCCGGATTACTACGAGATCATCCGCTTTCCCATCGGTGAGCGCGCATCCCTCTCCATCACACGGCACATTTTCTTCTCAGGCTACGATCGCTTCCCTTTTCGAAGTCATCGATCCCAAGTTCAGAGCGTCCCCGTTGCCTTCTCGCGGCTAACGGCGCCCGACGCTGTCGCTGTTCACTGCAGATGCTCTGAAAGACACACACTCTTCATCACATTATTATTATTATTATTATTATTAACATGCGTCTTGTTTCTCCTTTCAATTTCTTCCCACAGACCTGAAGACCATGACGGAGAGACTTAAGAACAGGTACTACGTGACCAAGAAGCTTTTCATTGCCGACCTTCAGCGAATCATCACCAACTGTCGCGAGTACAACCCTCCAGACAGCGAGTACTGCAAGAGTGCCAACACCCTGGAGAAGTTCTTCTACTTCAAATTAAAGGACGCAGGACTTATTGAGAAATGAAATCCGCAGAATTATTCAGATTTCTAAACCGAACGCGGGGCGATGTTCACTCGCCCCCCCCCCCCCGACGAGGAAGAACACATCGCAAAGCTATTGGCATATCTGCGTTAATAAAAGGGCATGTACGCGACCGCCACGGACCGCTATCCGATCAAGTTGAGCAATGCAAAGTGTCAGAAAGACATTTATCTTTAAGTTGCTCCTTTCCAGTACTCCCAGTGGGTCGAGAATCCACATGTTTCATTAAGTGTACCAAAGTTATAGGTCCAAGTTATAACCACGCCACACTTTCCACCATTTATTTATAGTATGATTGATTTGTTTTTTGTTGCATGTAATGACATTTGTTTGTACCAATTTGCTTAAAACTTGTCACTGTAGCAGAGATATACGTAGAGTTCTTTCATAGAAAACTGGACCTCGGGACCTAAAGCCACGTTGCCTTTCATTACTGACAGACACTTGAACGTCCTAGCCATCTTTCATGGGTATAAAGACAAATGTTGCTGGTGGTGTGAAGTCCTTAAAGCACTTAACACCACTGAGTAGTCTTGAAGCAATTCAGTTGTTTGGTTGAATAATTATTATAACGTGGTTGTAAATGAAGTGCAAACACTGAACGCATGACGGTCAGAGCTTTAGTTTAATTTTATGGCCTGAAGAGAGCAATTTATTTATCATTAAGCAATATTATTTTGTATCATCTGCTAACCGATGATAACACATTTGTTGCCTCCTGGTTCTCGAGTAGGTCGGCAGGGCATAAAATATTGCTAAACAAAATAATTTCCCCAATGGTTGCCTTTTAAGAAAACCCTCTTTTCATGTTAAGACAACGTCGTGGATGTGTAGTTTACACCATTAATATGATCCCCACTGTTTACACATCATTTTCCATCGGCAGGGGTTCGTTCCCAACTTTTTAGGTCACACTCTAGTTGAGCTTCTACCACGACGGCAGGTGTTGATACTTTGGTTGTCTTGCCAGACTCACACATGAGCTCAGTAGCCTATTCAGTTTTACTAAATGACAGTTGACTCTTTGAATTATATTTTCTTTAATGAAAAAAGGTTTAGCTGTTGTTTTTATGCTGACAAACTTTTAAATATTTGGTCAGCGCTTCCTGCGTTGCATCCTTTCATTGGAAGTCGCTGTCCGATGCTCGTTGAGTCTGCTTGTTGGATGTTTCGTTGACGTGTGTGTGTTTTTTGTACTTGAATCACGACTAGCTTTGAGTTACTAAAGTGATGTCAGCATTGCATTATTCAGGGTTGTCGTTTCTGTATTTTCCCCCATAATCTATCTATGCTGCATTTCAGATTTTCTTAAAGGGTCAGTCTGAGGAAAGGTTCCACCTGTTAGAGGATGGCTACTGTCTCTAGTTGCCGTTCACTGGAAGTGTAAAACTATCAATGACTATTACTTCATATTAATATATAACTCTCTCGTCAGTTGACTTAACTGAATCAGCGTTTGTGTGACAAAATGAAAGACCCTGCAAGAAAAACCTTTCACTTGTGATACTACCACAATATCAACAATGGGCGTACCAGATTAGACAAAAATAAAGAACTGATCAGAATTTGGTTGTCAAAGTTCACTGACTTACAAAATGTTTTTCTGTCTCTATTTTGTTTTCGTGTAAGTTTCAGGATGAAAGGACGGGGATTGATTGATTGGCTCTGGCGTTCCACCATGAGACAGTGATTCTACTTTGGGTCACTGAAGGTTTACTGATTAACTCGATCACAGAAACAACTTGAGTGTAAGGAAACGTGCTGAAGCTGCAAGAAATCTGCAGTCATGATTATTTATATATAATATATATAAAAACTATTATTGTACAACAATACAGTGCGTCAGCGCTTTCAGAGCCTTTGGTAACTTTGTTTAGTTGAGGCTTGATAACAAATGTATCCTGTATAACTGCCTACAGTCACCTGCATCAGTATTTGGTATGTTAGTGGATCAGAAAGTGTATTCCGTGTGTGTGTGTGTGTGTGTGTGTGTGTGTATCTCTATCTATACTACCAGCTGTTGTTGCTCCATAGCCTCCCTCAGTAGGACCATTCCGTGGACACATTCCACAGGTTTTCTCAATCACACACGTGATGACAGATATAAAAGGGCGTCATTAAGGATGAGTGTTCTCTGCATGTCAATCTGTTAAACAAAGTATTGTTAATATTACATATGTGAAATACGTTTAAGAAGAAAACAATCCCAGTATTTGGAGTATTGTTTTAAATTATCTTTGAAATGTTCTTCCCCTATACTTTTATACACAGGGATCTAGTTTTTCTTCTTACGAGTGTAAAGGTAGTTCAGCTCAGAATGTGTCGCAAACCCTTTTCTTGGATTTGAGGATTGTATTATGTATTTATTGTCATGCATATTTAGATGATTTGTGTCCAGGTTATTGCTTCATTAGCAGTTCACAATGTGGTATTCTACATTGCTTTATCACTTAAAAAGGTGGTACATGTGCAATTATCCACACAATTCAGCGTTTTGCTTGATTTATAACCCACTTTACCAAAGTCCAGCATGACTTGCAACTGAAAGCTAAAAAGTTGAGAGGGCAGAAACCATCCACGTGAAACTTACTGTAACTACACAATAAGTTTTGTTTTCCTGATGTGACACAGAAGAAGTAGGGCCCATTCAAGGAGTCTGCACACGCGCCGGACCTTTCCAACACTCCGCAGAGAACACGCCTCAGCAACAAGCCCCTAACTGAATACACACATCCCTACGATACACACTAAATAAAGGCCTGACCGTAGTTTCATCTATTAAAAAAAAAAGAAAAGGTTGGAATAGAAACCAGACTTTTTGTCGTCCAGGCTTCACTGTCGCTGCGTTGGAGGGTAAATGCGTTGCTGCTCCGGAGCCTCCCTCAGCGGGCCCCTCTGAGCTCACCGCGCTTTTACTTTCGTTTTCCCTTCCCAACATCACACAGCTGATCAAGCCACTTTAAAGCCCGATGACTGGCACCGTGTGAAGGCAGTGGACAAGGAGAACCCGGAGACACAGCTGAGCGGTGAGTTCGTAACAGCGCTCAGATACACGATGGCTTCTGTTCCTCTGATCCAGCCCAACTTCATGGCCTTAATGGTCACAGTCTGGGGTGCATTGGGGTCAATATTACAATTCTGCTGTGTTGGTTTACAGAAGAAAAGGTGCAGGATGGCAGAGGATTTAGAGCTGCGTGGATACCAGGAGGAAGTGGTCGAGAGGGCTCTTCGGGGAGAAAACGTAATCATCTGGCTGCCGACTGGAAGTGGAAAGACCCGCGCTGCCGTCTATGTGGCCAAAAAACACCTGGAAACCACCCGTGGGGCTAAAGTGGTGGTCCTGGTAAACAAGGTACACAGACTACACACACCAGACAGACTCATTCTCATACATATAAACGGAGGTGTGGCCCAAAATACGGATCTTTTATGTGTGTACTACAGGTTCACCTTGTAGCACAACTTTACACCAAAGAGTTCGAGCCGTACCTGGGCCATGGCTACACCCTGGTGCCAGTCAGCGGGGACAGCAAGGAGAAGGACTTCTTTGGGCCCGTGTTGAAGGACTCAGACGTGGTCATCTGCACAGCGCAGATCTTGTACAACGCGATGACCAACATGGAGGAGACCAAACACGTTGAGCTCTCAGGTCAGTAGGAGCGAGCATGAACGCGGTCATGATGTCGTGGTGACTGCCTGAAAGGGTGTAGGGTTTCCTAATGGAGTTAATTGTACCCGTGACGCAATCGTGCTTCTTTGCAGATATTACTCTACTGATAATCGACGAGTGTCACAACACCCACAAGGAATCAGTCTACAACAAGGTGATGGCGTGCTATGTGGAGAAGAAGTTGGAAAGAGAACTCCCATTGCCACAGATCTTGGGTCTCACTGCTTCACCGGGAACAGGAGGCGCCAAGAACCTGGAAAAGGCCGTGGACCATGTTCTGGAGGTCAGGGTTCAGCTCGTCCCTTTAGGTTTCCACTCAATGTGTCACTAATATGATTTAGTCTTTCTGATCATCACCTTCCTCTCCTTCTCAGATTTGTGCAAACCTGGACTCAGCCATAGTTTCGACTAAAAACTGTGTGTCCGAGCTGAAGCAGAAGGTACCCAGACCCGTCAAGCAGTTTGACATTGTGGACAAAAGGCTTGAGGTAAACTCTGTTTGCTCTTTGCTCTCTAAAACAACTAATATTTCCATTTAAAAACATATGCTGTGGTAGACAGAAATGATGCTATCCAATATCATTAGACCTGACCTGCGTACACAAACACAAAACATAAAACAATGTGAAAGATGTGATAATCTGCACTGCCATCTCATTCATATTTACAACCTTGCTGCTTAACGTTTCTACTGCTCCATGTATATTTCACACTGTACATATTATTCTTATTTATATATAGCACATAGATATACTCTGCACTTTATCTGCCTCTTGCACCTCTGGTTAGATGCTGAACTGCATTTCGTTGTCTGGTACCTGTACTATTGTCTAGGACCCATTGGGGGATCATCTTAAGCGCATGATGGAGATGATCCATGAGTACATGAATATTCCCCCGGACTTCAACCTGAGAAAGTGTGGCACACAAGAGTATGAGGCCGATGTGGTGATACTGGAGCAGAACGGTAAAAATCCATTTACCTTTTGTGATGACAAGGAGAACAAGTTACTTCTGTTGAGGCCGGTAATTTGTTTTATCAGAGAGTCTTTACATCTTCCACCGCAGACTAAAAACACACCTCCTCAGACTCTACCTTGACTAAAAAAAAATTGTAGCACTTAAATTGTACTTATAATGGCTCTTATCTATAGCAAGTCGGCTTATTTGATAAAATTGTTCTTTTGAGTTTGTATCCTTAGTATTGAAATGCACTTATTGTAAGCTGCTTTGGATAAAAGTGTCAGCTAAAGGTAACGTAACGTGATGTCTTGAATAATTTGGATCAGGAGTCAAACAGAACAACCGACTGCTGGCACAATGTGCGCTCCACCTCAGACAGTACAACGATGCCCTGCTCATCAACGACACCCTGCGCATGATGGATGCTTATCGCTCCCTAAACGAGTTCTACAAAAACAAGTCGACCACAGCAATTGACGGAACAGACTACTTCTTGGCGGGACTTTTCCAAGGTAGCGCTCGAAAAAAAACGAGTTACTTGTCCATTTGTATGCACATGACTTGCATTGATGTTAAGCTCACAATGTCGTCCACACAACTCAGAGAACCAGGTGGAGCTGAAGAAACTGGCGGGAGATTCTCGCTATGAGAACCCAAAGATGGGCATGCTGGAGACCACTCTGCTAACACAGTTTGGTCCAAGTGTCAAATCGAAGGGGATCCTCTTCAGTAAGACGCGTAAAAGCATCTATTGCCTGAAAGACTGGGTCCTCGACAATAAAGCCTTGCAGGAAGCCGGCGTCAAGGCCGCCATCCTCACCGGTGCTGGAAATGGTAACACTCACATGACGCAGGTGCGGACGCACACAATCCACGAGCATTGAGTCCTTCTAATTCAAGTACGAATAGATGCGTTTCTTTTCTGCCCGACTCAGTGCTTACATGCTTCCCCCGCAGCAAAAGCAGGCGGACACGATCCGCGATTTCCGTGACGACAAAGTCAACCTCCTGATCTCCACCAGCGTGGCCGAGGAAGGCCTCGACATCCCTGAATGCAACCTGGTGGTGCGCTATGGGCTGCTAACAAACGAGATTGCCCAGCTGCAGGCCAGCGGACGCGCCAGGGCGAAAGAGAGTCGGTATTCGGTGGTCGCCGATAAAGGGGGGAAGGAAGTGAGGCGGGAGCTCACCAACGAATGTCTGGAGAAGCTGTCCATAGAAGCCATTGCTAAGGTCCAACAAATGAGTACCCCAGAGTTTCGCACAAAGGTGAGGGGCCCGCGGTGCTCCGTCCGATCTTCATCCTGTATTCTCCTCGCGTGATGTTTCCGGTGCCACCTTTTGTTTGTCTTCGTCTCCAGATTGCCAAGCTACAAAAGGAGGCAGTTTGTTTGAGAAAATTGACGGAGGCGGGCAAAAGAGAGAAGAGAGGTCGCAACACTGCCGCCAGCGTCAAGCTGTTGTGCCGAAACTGTTTGAAGGTTGTGGCCTGCGGCAGCGACATCAAACTACTTGACGACATGCACTATGTCAACGTCAATCCCGATTTTGAGTGAGTTGATCTCTTCACGGTACATGAGTACGTGCAAAAGCATTTGACGGCTAAAGTGTTTACAAAATGTCTCAACTGCTCCGATCACGGCTCATCTTTGCTCTCAGGAGACACTACACCGTCGGTGGGGAAGTGAATATCAACAAGAGCTTCGAAGACTGGGAGCCCGGGCGCACCATCAATTGTAGCACGTGCAACCAGGTACAGTGGGTCCTCTGTCAATTAAAGCTCAGTTAAGACTGCCCTGCTCGAGGCAGGTCATCAACTGCCCGGGATGTGCGCGGGGTGTCAAATGTTATTCTTCCTTTAAATTCACAGGACTGGGGATTTGAGATGAAGTACAAGAAAAGGGCCGTGCTGCCCAATGTAGCTATTAAGAAATTGGCCGTGGAGACTCCACTCCATGGCAGGATGACTGTGAAGAAGTGGAAGGACGTCCCTTTCACTGTCGAGGACTTCAGCTTGGAAAAGTATTGCCAAGACAACTACCCTGACATGTTTGACTGAGACACCTGCAGGAGAGCTCTGTGTCAGTCCCCCCCTCCACACACTCCACATGTTACCTTTTACTGGTGTTGGATTACCTGTGCTCATTCAGAGGGACCATCGTATTCTTAAAATGTCCTGCTCACGCACTTGCATTCATTCGGGGGCTGGCGGGCCAGTGAGGCAGCAGTGTGCCGATCATGCATAAAATTAGCGTGACAGCTTTGTTTATGCCCAAGGAACTGCCTCCTTTTCCTCCGCTTCATGCCAAGTCAAGCACAGAAACAAAGCACATAATGAATATGGACTGTAACCATCATGAACACTCGGCGTGTCCTCACGAAGATGAACTCTCTTTAACCGTTTTAAGATGTTTTTAATTAGAAACTTAGTATGCATGTAGGGGTGTTTGTGGTATGTGGATATTATGTGTACTGATTATCTGAAATAATGCATGTGCTTATTTAAGTGTTTTACAGGATACACACTTTTAAATCATCTTTTTAATTGTAATTATGGACAGTATAAATTGACTAACAAAACCGGCCACATTTTAATAAACATTCTTCTTAAATGCCAAAAAGATTGTTTTGTAATGTCTATTAACCACTAGGTGTCAGTGTTGATCAGCCAATTAAGTCATTTTCTCCACAGTAAAAATGCGGTCGAGGAAGAAAAACTTGCAACTCTTCTTGCACTCCTCAAACTTTGCGAATGTATCCTTGACACACATGTTCCCTAAAGGGTTTCACCAGAGCAGCTCATTGTTTGGTACTAGCAGATGGTTGGCTAAACACCGCAGATACGTGAATGTGACATCTGGAAAAGAAAAGCAGTGCACTAAACTGCCAGAAAAGGGAGTACTTTCACATGCAAACATGGGTTATAATAATGTAACTGTGGATGCGTGTCTAGATATGTATGATTTCTAAAACAATGTATTCAAAAGCTTCTCTTCGAAGAATGAATTAAATATTCCCCAGATCCCCAAACAACAGTTTTGACCAGCTGAGAAACCGTCTCTGCTGAAACTTACTTTTTACTGCGTGTATCAAGCTTAATATCCTGCAGCACAGCTTCGGCTATACGAGCACCTTCCGAATCAAAGCAGCAGCGGGGAAGGGATTCATTGTATTGAGTAGTTTTGCTGTTGAGCCACAACATCTTTATACGTATCTCTAGGCAAGACGTGATTAGGTCAACATCACCGTGTCGGATAGACCGTAATCCTTCCAAATCTGGCAGAGCGATGGAGTCAGTGCAGCTGCCACGGATGTAATCACGCTACCAGCCGGCTCTGTGAAGGTGTCATGCCTGATTCTGATTCCGGCGGGCGGAGCGGAGCCCTTCAGTGTGTGATGTACTCTGATCAGGCTCAGGCTCTTTAATCAACGCTGATTACCTCCTTTTTACTTCCCGGCTCAACACCCCCCTGCATCTTAATTGCAATTAGCTCTCTTCTGAAGTTACAGCAGGTTGGAGTAGTCGAGCAAAGGATGTGTGCGTTGTGGATGTGCCAGTGTGAAGGCCCATATAGACTCACTTTCACATGTGACTATTTGTCTACTATATGTTCCACTTAATGAGCACTTCTGCTCTGTTTCTAACTTGAGGGGAAGCACACCTGAGTTGAGAGACACATCATGCAGGATCATCTTAAGCTATGGGCACAATATATAAGATTTCCAATATGTGATGCAAAAACGCTTTAACTCACTACATAACTTCCAATTCATTATTATTGAAAGTTGAAAGCAAGATGGAGCTTTTCTGCATGTTTGTAGGGTTCACTGTTTTTTAAGGGCATGTTTAAAAATGTTAACAACAAGGGAAACTGATAATTGTGTTGGTTTTAAAATATTTTAATAGAACTTTACTGAGGTGTGTAACCCAGCAACAATTTCTAGAACCGAGCAAAATATCAAATTTGAGTGTGTTTCGCTCAAAGGCAATCTGAATGTCACCGCGGGAAAGTATAATGCGCATGTTTACTGTTTGCTGACATTTTAGGAGTTAGTAGAGAAAACAGAGAAAACAAACTTTCAGGAGTTTCAGAGTTGGTTTCAGAGTTTGGTTGTTTGTTATTGTTTCATTACAGATGAATCCTGGCATTCGCCGGCTTTCGACTTGCATGTAATCGACAATCTTTTGCCTAATTGTTACCTACTTGTACAAGAGGCTAGATCAGACAACCTTTGTTGATCCATGAAAGGCTTGTCACAAAAAAAATAAAAGGATATTGACGCCCCGCATCAATTAAATGCATCACAGAATACCTCGGGGGGGCCCTCACCCTGCAGTTCTACATCTATAAAGTAGTTTTTAGTATGCAGAGTAGTCTGCACACTGACACAAGGCAACATTTAGACGGGCTACAGATCCATCACACGGTCAATTTCCTGACTGTCGACAGAAAATCCCACCTGTTCGGCCAGCGTTGCGCATGAAGTAAGTGAGACACGCTGTCGTCACACACGGTCTCTCTCTCTCTCTCCAGGACACAGATGGAGACAAGGACAGCCACAGATATCTCCCGCAGTGCAGTGGGCCAGGGACCAGGGTGGGCTTTTCCCAACGGACCCAGCTGTTTGTCAGCCAGCTGCTTGTGTTGTCAGAGAGCTCGTCGTGTTGCTTGTCGGCCCCGTCGTCGAGGTCGACAGGACGTCACCGTCTCTGGTGACAGCGGTGGTCCAGGCTGTTCCCAGTGACGGGCCTGATTATGACGTCATGCTGTGTGTCACCTGCACATATTTATAGTTCAAGGCGGTTTTAAAGATGCCTGTGTGTGTAATTATTAATTTGTGGGAAGTTTGGGTATACGTCTCTGAGATCTCTGTGGTTTATTGACCGGTTTTGGTGCCGTTGTGTCTTGTCTTTACGCAACACAATCCTTTCTGCATTTAAGTCTCACGGCTTTGACGCTTGAAAACCATTTTTCAACATAAAAGCTTAGACGGTACGCAAAGGGCGCATCTTTGTTGGCAGACGTCTCCTTTGATTGAGGACGTCGCTCTCTTAAGTGAACTGGATCGGTGCCAGAGTGGAGTGAGCCTATTTCACCCGTCATTATGGAGCAGATAAAAGAGACTGTTGTCTCTGCTTTCTTTAGTCTGCTCCTCCCGGTCTCGGCCCTCTCTTCTGTCCTCGTTTTGACAGAGCCGGCTACTCTTAGTTGAGATACTCAAACACGAGCTGCTAATAAATTATTCTTCAGGACCTTTGACTCCCCTGCAGATAATTCAGTTTTTTTATTATGGCACAAGAAAAAAATCCTCTTAAAACCCCAAATAAGTGCATAAAACGTTTCGTTGAGATGCCTGTGAGAAGAAGACGTCGTTGACAGACACATGATCTGAAGTAGTCAAAGTGTTTGTCCACGTCCAAGTGTCCCTGTGCATCGCCGTGTGTGTGAAATCAACGTGCCTTTCTGTCCTCCCTCCTCTGTCTTGGTCATTGACTGCGGTTTGTGTTGCTCTAATCCCTGTTATTAATCCATGTTGAGTCATTCAGGCTGGGGGGGGATTATCGTGGACGGCAGCCCACACTTTGTCATTTACTCTTCTCTACACTGATGACACATTTTATGTGTGACGGTTAACTGAATAGATCCAACCAAATCAGCAAAAACACTCAGTTTATACAGACACACGGACAATTAAGTGTTGCTAAATGTGTACTTAGTTATCTATTGTGCCGTGAAAACCTCCACCCGTATGATGCAATCAAGGCTTGGACATGCCGGGGCTTTTATTTCCTAGAAATGACACTATTGTGTGAAAGTCATTTAAATAAAGGAATACTTAAGCAGCCTGAAATGGTCTGACAGAAAGAGAGAATAATATTAAAAGAAAAACAATAGGGACCCAAAGTAAGTAAAGAAGGTCAATTGTAGAAGGCAGAATAAATAGAGCTATGAATACTATATAAAGTGGAAGGTTGAATTAGAGGAGGAAGTGCTGTATATGTCCTGAAGGGGGAATATTTCTGTATGCATACGTTCGTCATCCGTAACCTTGGCAGGACACTCAGAAATCTGATGTAAACAGAAAGAGACAACAGGAGTCTCATAGGGCCAGTTGATAAGCAGCGTCACAAACCCTGAGCAGCCCAGTCAATGTTGAAAAAGCCTCGTTCCGTGCAGGCGGCAGAGATAAGTAGAAGCTCATATGGCATAGAAAGATTTCCACGGGTTTACGAGACTTCGGCCCAGTGAGGTATCGATGCCCTGAACTCAGATGGTTTTCTTACATTTCAGGCATGTGGGTTGTGTTAATTTCCAACACTGTAAATGGAGAATAAGAGAAAACCAGTGTAACAGTTAGAAAGGGGCATCAATAGAGGGTTAAGTAGGAAATAGAATTACTGGAGGTGTGTAGATCATCCTGAATAAAAGGACATCCGGAAGATTAATCGAAAAATTGAAAAAAAGCGGCGAGTTACAAAATTGAGCAACTTTTGGAAAATATATTCACATTCCTTCTCCTCCTGCGCCGCGTGCAGGAGAGCAACTGCCGACGGAAATTTTCAACCAAGTGCTTCAAATGTTCTTTTGTCATTGTGGTCATCATCATCCTCCTCATCACCGTCACCGACCACGAAAAAAAGCAGCAGCAGCAAAATAACAAATGGAGTCTTCGATCAGTGTGTGGGAGCTGCAGGTCATGGGGCTGCAGCTTTGCCTAATAGAGGCACTACATTAACTGCTTGCGAGTTTTGACAGATCCAATTAGAATGAGCTCCATACGTCTGCCCTGTCCCAGAGGCGGCCCCTCACACACACGCGCCCCCATGGCAGCATCCAGCTCGTCCCCGGCTGGAATATCCTCTCTGGGTCTCCTTGGCCGCAGCGCGAGGAGATGCGGCGGCCGAGCGCGCTGTTCTGTCTTTGGTTTCTGTGGTTTGTCTTGTGGCTTTTTGGGGGTATTCTCGTGAAACTAATCACATACTGAACAAACAGCCATTACTCAAAAATCACGTTTCCTCCCTGAACACCGTTCAGTGCATCCCTCAAAATGTCCATTCTCGTCCTTGTTGAAGCTGCTTCTCTTTCGTCCATCATGTCCAAATTATAGGTTTTGTGTGTAAGGGGGAAGAGGGAGCCATGCTTCTCAAGATGGAGCACAGCGAAACATCACACTCCAGCCAAGGAGAGGAAACAAAAACAGGCAAATTTTTGCAAAATCTACTATTTTGCCCTCATCTGATGCCTGCTTTCTTTGTGTACCCCTCACTCTCCCTCGAGCCGCACTCCTCCCTCTCAATTATTCCGGGCAAACAACGCACATGTCAATCTTTTCCCTTTCAATAGCTAATGGTCTATCTATCACCCTCTGCCCAACAGTCAAGCCAATTATTGTGATCAAGCTGTTGAAAGTAATTTTCAGTCGCAGCGCGAGGACAGTGCCAGACTGACAGCGTTGTCTCACTATGTCCATTGTTAAGCGTGGGACAACAATGAATAAACCACAGTAAAACCGCCCCAAATGGATCCAGAAGTAATTTCATATCTGGACCATTCTATTACGGTTTTGTGTGCATCATTTCCCTGTTGGTCCTTCCCTGTCACACAACGTGCGCGTGCAAACCCGCGGCTACGCTGTGCCATGAATCAAAAATGACAAGTCAGCGTGAGTGCTGATAAATAAATTACTGTA